TCCCTGGCTCGGCTGCGCAGCCGCTGCGGGACTTTCCGACGGCGCCCGCGGGTTTTCTGGTCTTTTCTGCCCGCAAAGAGAAAGGCTCTAGGGAGAAAAGTGAGATAGCTACGCTGCCCACGGCTTGGGAGTGGGGTGGGGAGGGGGGCAGCGTCCGTGTAGCGAACCCGAGGGGACTGGTGGGCACAAGCCGTCGGCGTTTTGGGGGTAACGCCATGGATCCGCAGAGACCGGGAGGCAGGCGGTCCGCGTATGAAGGTGGGACACACATTGTACTCGCTGGGACCTGGGGACACAGGCGCTTCTTGTATGGGGCAGCGGGAGGCATACCGTGTACTCGCAGAGGCTGAGATACAGACGCTCCGCGTACGAGTGAGGAGGGGGACACACCTAACACTTGCAGAGACTCCGGCACTTCGCCTTCCCCGAGACGCAACAACACGGCTTACCGGGAGTCACATACACCCAGCGCTCACCCGGGAGCAAAGAAATCAGTTACTGAGGAGAGAGATTTCTCCATGACTCCTCCTCATACCCTAAAGACGTGTCGCGTCTCAGGCGGATTCACAAACAGAGACGTGGGCTCAGGCCGGGGGCGGGGGTTGGGTGGCGGAGAATACACCGCACCCCGGACAGACCGCAGCTCGTCCCGGAGAGACCTAGGGACACACACACACAACTCGAGCGCAGCGAAGGCTCACATATTCAGCAGTTGGAGGACAAACCCAGAGAAGCGTTTTCACTTTGGAAAAAAAAGTGAGAGGAAAGTGGAATGTATAGCAAAGGGAAGCCGCTACCGAAGTGCCTGGGGAAGCCGTTATGGACATGCAGTACTGTGCGTGGATGAGGGAGACAAGAGTAGACATCGCATAGGAGGAAAGATACCCATATGAAGGACGAGTAACATTCACTCTGAGAGGAGAGACAATCGGGAAGGAAGAGATAACCCACGGGTCATCCTGGCAAATAGCTAGGTCCATACCAAGGAAACACGCTCCGATTAAGTGATCTCATAAAACAGGCACAGAGGGACACCCATTTGCAGACTCATTCAGATAAAAGTGGAGAAAGGAATTAACATCTGTTGAGCTCCCACTAGTGCCAAGCACTTTAAATGCTTAGAAGGAAGGCAGAGTTGGAGGCAAAACCGAAGGATACATGTGAACCTGGGCCAAGGGAGACTTACCTTCAAAGAAGCCCCCTTTGTAAGCGTGAACACAGTGAGAGATACATAATGGTGAATAGTCTGGGAAATACATGAACTCACATGACAGTGTACATGTAAACTGTAGGACAGACTCTCAGAGATGAGCATGCCCTCAGGATGGCACTCACAGAACTGAGTGGACACATGGATGTACATTCCAGGGCACATATGATACTGGAGAAGCATAGGTGAGAACACTCAAGACAGGGGAATGGAGGGAGCATGCACAGGGAGAAAGATCCTTTTCCTACATGCCAGGAAATCCCAGAGAAAAGGAGTCTCATGTGCGGTTGGAAGGTCAGTGTACACTCAGCAATAGGAATGCAAGGAGATATAAGAAGTAAAAACTGCATGTGTCAGTAGCTACTCCCAGACAGGTGCATCTGCAAGGAAGAGACCAGCACTAGCATGGAGTGGGAGGCCCATATGGGGGAAGACGGATAGGCAGGTAGAGGGACACAGGCAGACACTGGAGAGAAACTCAGCCCTGCAAGATGGAGAGATAAGCTTGCCTGTTCCAAGGGGAGGGCATGGGTAGGAATGATAGTGGGAAGAAGGTAGGTGAGGGTATGTAAAGAGAAAAACACAGAGGCTAGAGAGAAAGAACCCAGCAGGAGGAGGCCAACCTCCAGTCAGAAACAGATCCAAGGAGCAGATAAAGACTGACACACAGGGGTAGGGAGAGGCATCTCTTAGGACAGAAGGTCAGCCAGCCACCTTGGAAGAACAACTGGCAGACAGCACAGTTGATTACAGTGAGATTGACAGGCACTGTATATTTGGCAGGGAAGAGGTGGGTGAGAAGGCCCACACCCATGGGAAGGGATGGTACCCAGGGAGAATAAGGCGACAGAGAGGCCCCCAGTGCTCACTGATGTGCATGACTGTTGGCACCCAGGGAGAGAGTGCTATTTGTTTTCTACCTTCATTTCTGCCTCCTAAATATACACTTTAGTGTTGTTATGCTTAGAATTAAAGTTGGAGTGCTCTGACTCTTAAGAGCCCCACATTTGTATACTGGTGTCTTCCAAGAGATGAGATCAAAAATTCTTTCTCTTCTAACCCAACACTTAGTTCTTGATTTTTTTATTTTCCATTTTTAAACTTTTTTATAGTCAAAGGTACTAAAGTCTATGGCTTTCTTTGCTCCTGACTATTATTACCTAGTAATATCATTGCTATCTGTTCCCATCTCTGTGCATGCAAATTAATGGGTCTGGTCAATCTGTGTAGAGGCAAAGAAGGTAAAGGGAAAAGACTTTTCTAAGTCCTTCTACCTTTCTGAGTGTGGATACAGGTAGATTCAGGTAGTCCTAGAATTCCTTTTCTTCTGAAAAGCTGGTGGTAGCAGTAGTATGCAGAGAAAGAGGAAGAAATAAATAAGCTGACTTGGCCTTTGCAATTGGACACTGCCTTTTTTCTGACTTAACCAGTTTCTGTCCTCAGACCTCATTGTTAATAGTTTGCAAGGGGTTTGGAAAAGCAGGAATTGGGATGAGACTGTTCATTTCAGATGGATGAAAAGTGGGAAGAGATTGAAGAAAAAGAAATGTACTGTTGGTACTTACTGCAGTATCCTCTGGCACGTTCAGCTAAGCTTCTCATGAATGTGTCTTCAGTGCCCCTCCTCCTGGCTGGGGCCAGTCCAGGGCTCCCCTATCAACAGAGTAAAGTTGTCAGCAGCAGGCATATGGCTGAGCTTTTATCCTTCAGTAGAAGGATATGTACTTGATCTTTTACACTTTCTAGCCTGGAAGAAGGGCTCCTAACTATAAATTGTAGCTGCTGTTTGGAAGTATGTTGGCATGCATTGACTAATTGGGAAGAAGTTTCTGGTGGTCAAGCCTATTCTCTCCAGGTGGGGAAAATGGCTTTAACTTCTCTCCTAAAACTGCTCCCACCATTCCTTGTGCTCAGATAGGAAGGTGCTTGATACTTGACAAGTGGCCTCCAAGTGGCTTTGGCCTGTGGAAGGTTATGACTATTACTCCTGTTCTTCTAATGACTTTCTAAGAGCCAGAATTTTCAACAGGTTAATTCCCTAAATTAAGTAACAGAGTTATTTTTATCGAGATTATTTTGTCCCATGGATTTACTCTCCTAAACTTGACCTAAGGCTTTAAGGAGGTAAATTTGGGAATTTAGGAAACTATGATTCAAGCTAATACAGAAGTTCTTCAGATATAATTGAGCAAGTATACAAAATTACTAGCATTTGTGGAAACAGAATCTTTAATTGGAAATAATTTCTCACTATTTCAAAAGACAAACGTACCTAATTGACCTTTGTTATTTAAGTTTTCTGTTTTTAGAGAAGAAATAAAGAATGCTAGCTTGAGAACTTTTTTAAACAGGGCCTGGGGTGGAGGACAGAGACGTTCTAAGTCCAGGAATAGGAGTGATAGTTGGAGCAAATATCTCCTAAAAGTTGTTTTTCACTCAGTCTGAATACAGAAATAGTTTCAAGTTGATTATATATAAAAAAGTATTAACTGGAAAGTTATTTTCATGGTTTGCAGATGAACTCAGACATGCTAATACAGATATTTAGTTTATAATGAAAAACTCCTTTTTTTCTCTGTAGGTTATTTTGAATGAAGGTAAAGTTGCTAAATAAATTCTCGGATTACAACTTTATAATCATTCTAAATTTATGTTTGTGATTGTGTGCTCTATATAAGCTCTACATATTTTAAATGAGCATATATTACTATAATTACATATTTCTCCCAAATGTGTCCTAAAACTATACTTAAAATTAAATCCCAAAATTCTGGAATTTATTTTAGCTAATTTCTTCAGTAATGTATAGCTGGCTTTGACATTTGAGTAACTCATTTTGTAGTAACAAAAACCTGATGAAAATGTTTTCAGATTCTGTCATTGCTGACCCTATCATTTTTTAAAAAATGTTTACTTAAAGTTTCAAAGGTGGTGCCTCAAATAATATTTCACATTTATCTAACTATTACATAAAAAGTCTGCATAGACATGTTTGGAGGCAGGGGCCATTCACTCTCTATGCCTGAAAATGAGAAAGGAGATGCCTTTAAGAAGTATTGGGTTAACATTTTCTCTT